GTTTGCTTACGTTATCTATTGAGGTATATCTAAAGTAAGTGGAAAATTGCCCACCCGATATAACAACGAAAGCTACAATAGTTGGCCTCAATGGAGAACTAAGGCAATGAAGTTCGTTCCATCAGACCGAATCACTCTTTTCTGGATGAAGTACAAAACCTTCTTGAGTTTCTCGTAATAAGTTACATTAAAACACAAACTATGCGCCTAAACTAATCGGTTCTAGTTTAAGAGCAAAAATTAATTACGCCAGAATTACAAAACAGCCCAAACAGTGCAGCCTATATTTTGTATTAAAGTGTTGCAGTATCACAAAATATCGTATTGAGTGTTTGATTCCTGGTAATCAATGCGAATATTTCAGATGGTATGGGTCATGCATCTGCCTATCTAGACAGTAAAAAAAACAATCATCGACCGACCCAAGCAGTAACTCTGAGTTTAGCCAAACATAGCCTTATTGCCAATGACCTCGTGAAATATAACAACAAAATGCGACAAAAATGTGGAACTTATCCAAATTCAAATAAAAAAGACAAAGCGAAGACTTGGGGACATGAAAAATGCTTGGAAGAGTCTTGAGTAAAAGTTAATGCAGAAAATAAAACTAAGTAGTAAAGAAATGGCAACAATGTCTAATAAAACACGTTGAAGAGTTTTTTCAGCTTATTCTTTTTACTACATCTGCACTTGACAACTCACTGAAGTCACAGCTTAGTTTATGCAAAACACATTGAGTTCATGTTAAGTTTTTTTGTTAGAAGTTAATAAATGTGAAACAAGAATAGTGCTATCTGATGACATAAAAAGTGAAGTATAGAATGAATATATGTAATGAAATAACACTATGTAGATGGACATGACCTGGTGGAATTGTATCGCTTGTGAACAGCATAACCAAACTATTGCAACAAGGGAATAAAAGAACCGAAGGGATAACGTCACTATAATGACTTATGTGAAGTAGTCAAAATGTCCAGGACACTAATTACCCAATACTGTACGATTGTTATTATAATGATCCCACTCAAATCTTCGGGGCACATTCCAGCGCGTTAGTGTAAACAGAAGTGTTCTGAGGAATTAATTGCTAAGAGTCGTTGTTACATATAATTATAGTAGTATGTGCATAGTAACATTTGATTGGTGTGGATGTGGGGCAAACTAGTGATTTTAAATATTACACATATATTCACAAGCAATACTCCAACTCCACCAGCTGTACGGGCTAGTACTGTAAAATGTAACTGCGCGTATTGTATTCTGTGAACAGACAAGTGAATTCGGTGGTTTTCATATGCATAAATCCCATCTGTCTCAGGGTATTCATCTTATTCAAACATCCTACAGGTGCGAGCACCTCCCCTTATGATAAATTCTCTTAAAAACTTCACACAGACAAAAAGTGCCCACCAGAATTATCTAATTCTTTCTTGGGAAGTGTCATTATTTGACAGTGACCTATTTCAATACATCGCATTAGGTGTTGACATTGCGGTATGTTGAATCAATATTAAACCAAAAAGAATTAAACGATTTCTCAGCATGGTATCGCTCTTTCTGTTCCGTATAAATATCAAAAACAAGGTTTACCGTTAGTGTACATAGCAATTCATCTTTAAATAGATCGACTTGAAAAAAGTCAATATGTGATTGGGTGCTAACTAATTGTGTTTAGAGTTTCCTAGAGCACCGACCTGGAATTAGAACATACATATAAGTGTCTTACAAAGAATTAGTGCCGGGGAGTTGCTGATTCTCCAGAGAGCATTACAATTGGCTTAAAATTGACAGATCAAGACATATGTATCTATTCATAACACTGTCCTGCCATATATAAATTACTAGAACTATTTTAAGATAATGAATGACTCCCAATCCATACGGCCTACTACATTTTGATGGTTTTGCCCGTCTTGTTTGCTTGGCCGTAACCGTTAAAACAATTTGAACAGTTAAATAAATGAAGCCGATACACCATCTCACAAGTTATTTGATAACTGTCACTGTGCAAATAAAAGGATGAATCTGGAAAATATTAAAGAGAATAGCGCAAGTCCTTTTACAAGCCTGTCATTCGAAGTGAGTGGCATCTCTGTTACCATCATCGCTCACTTGCAAAATGCCAGCCATTTCGTACGACGTAATTTCATGATATGTGAATAAACAAAATAATGGCCATTAAAACGTTTGTTCATAGTATTTACGGCTCCCAAGAACTAAACCAAAATCAGTAACAAAGCTGAAATACGAAGAAGCAAACGATGGCAATATTCTATCATATGTTTTCACTGCTGTAGCCAACACTCATCGGATCATGATGAAAATAAACTTTCGACAAAGTGGACGAACTTTCTATGACAATCACAGCTAACAGCTCATCTAATATTCCACGATTTCGCTAAAGCCTTTGGCGTAAGACTACATGTACTGCTCATGGAAAAGGTGTTAAACATGGGTTTTAACGACCAACGTTTATCTTGGCTCCAAAACTACCAAGAAAACAGAATGTCTCGCATCGAGGTGAACAGAAACTCTACCTGTAGATTTTCTAGAGTTACTGCCGGTCCCAAGCTCACAAAAAGAGTGAGGGATGGACATATGGTCCGCATCCCCATCCAGCAGAAAAAATCTTACTAAAAAACGCCAACCAGAATAAATAAATTAAACCATTAGAACCCTGTCTTCTGAAGTGAAACAAGAGTTATGACGCCTCAGGATGAAAGCCGAAATTGTTTGAAAGTCACGAGGCTGATGCCCCTTCGAACTACTACAGCAACAATTTCTGTGGGTACATGAAACAGCCGTACAACATGAGAGACCGATAGGACCAGTGAAATAGTAACGGAAATGAGAAGATACAAATTGACAGTACTCAAAATCAGCGAAACCCATTGGACCCAAGCTGGACAGCAAAGGCTAGATACGGGATAGATGCTGCTGTATTCCGGTCATGAAGAGGAAAATGCTCCACACACTCAGGAAGTTGCTTTGATGCTGTCCAAAGAAGCACGAAATGTACTCACGGATCCATGATCATCAAATCAACCTTCAAAACGAAGGAGGGGATCATGATGAATGTTATCCAATGTCATGCACCCACCAATGATAGCAACGACGACAATAAATATAAGTTCTATGAGAGGCTGCAATCAGTCACAGCGAAGTGCCCAACCAAGGAAAAGACCTGATCATTCTGATGAGAGACCTAAATGCCAAAACCGGAATGGGCAACACCGGGTATGGAGATATCATGGGAAGATATGGACTGACTTGGAAAAAGGAATGAGAATGGTAAGAGATTCGCAACCTTGTGTGTATTTAACGAAACGGTTGTAGGTGGTACAATATTCCATCATAAACACATACACAAAGTTACATGAGTCTTACTGGATCACACTACACAGAAACAGAGCAGTCACATTTACATCAACGAAACATTGAGAAGATCCATGGACGACGTGAGAACCAGGAGAGGAGCTGAAATAGCTTCATATCACCACCTAGAAAACAGCATTGTAAGGGTTAAGTACAGCTTCCTTCGACATACTGACAAACTCAACGAATTCGAGATCGCTCACAACCATAGGTTCCAAGGCTTACAATATATTCTGAAAGGAAAATAATAATACGGAGGACAATGGAAGATGATCGAAGAGTCACCAAGTTCAACGTCCTAGGGTGCACTAGGCCGCAAGAAGCACTACCATAAGGAATGGGTCTCCATGTAGAACTTGGACAAGTTTCAAGAAGGGAGGAACAAAAGGACGGCAATCAACAACGACTTAACAAGAACAGAGAAAGTCAGGGCACAAGCTGAATACACAAAAGCAAACAAGCAAGTGAAGAGGAGTGCTTGAGCTGACAGGCAGAAGAGTTAGCGACGACTGCGGAAGAAACTGCGAGAGAAGGAAATGAGACAACTATATGACATAACGAAGGAGCTAACAGTGAAATATAATAATTCGTTTATTTACTTATCTATAAGTGACTTACATTAAACCGTTAAACGTCAGAAGTGCATTTGTTATACTCCTTGGGATGTGACAAAAGGCATATTTCTTATTAACTTTCAGCGCAACGCTCAATTTATTCGAAACTATCAAGACCAATATTGGCATTGATATCTATGTACTAATATCATTGTCAAATATCAGTAGCTACTTTCTAGCATGTTTCTTATCATCCGGTTTCTCCCTTCATTATTACATTTCGGCCTTTTTACTCCGTCTATCTTACCGATTGTTCAACTCATTCGTTGATAATTTCTTGAATCAACCATTCTCTCTTGATAGCCGAAATTTTTTTCACTATTGTTTACTTTACAAGACAACTTCCTGTCTAGTAATGTGAAAGTTAACGGTATCCAGGATCACTACTGCCTTGAGACAGACGCCCATAAATTACAAGATATGATAACTGCGAAATCGACCATAATCATCTCGGTTGAGTGGCGAGACTATCACGAATTCAACATTACCAAGTACCTGGAATCGTAAAGGAACAACAAGTGAGCGAAAAGAAATCAATCGGTTAGTACAGGCCTGTCACAGAGATGCTCTTTATCAAGTATTTATGCTATGCTAGACTTCAACAACTTCAGCAGTTCTACAGAATGAGCGAAATAGAACACAGGACGAAATACAATGCAATGATGATGGAAGTACACCGTTGATGTACGGTTCTGAATGATTACAAGGATAAAGTGAGCATGTTATGCAACTGCGCTTTGCAGAAAATCTGCGTGTGAAGTTGAACAGAACCTCATACCCAATAAAGAAGGTCTAAAAATGAAATAAAGTCATGACAATATGAATAAAGACGAAAAACTATCCTCAAGTTGGATTTATACTGACCGGACAAAACTTGTTTGATCAGCTCCAGAAATACCCAGGTTATACCCTAAAGGAGCAAAGATTATGAAAAGTTCAACAGTTTAGGTGTGAAAGTGTTTATTATTGTGCGTCAATTAAAAGCAAATTTAGGTGGTAAATTATCCCGTTGAGCTTTTGAGAAGAACGCTACAGTGTCAAGGTTTTATGGTTTTGTATCCTTTTCCTAGGTACGTTGTTTTCTATGGAAGTCTGCAATGCGTCATGATTGTGAAAATCTAAAGGATAGAAGTATATGAGAATAAACGAGCTAATAGCTCAGGATACGCATAAGAAACACTTATGTTTAATCCCGATCAAGCTTAATGTAAATAAAGGCGATTTTCTAGGATTTTAGGCAATATCCTGTAGTGAAATTTCATGTAAAATTTTGTCAACATGCAACAATTTTTTCATCCTATTCCTTTTTCTCGGATAAATAACGAGATTTCCACCTTAGCTAATTTCTCGAAATTCGTACCTTTAGCATAAATTTTCTCTAGATTTCTTTTTACCGAGGAGCTTTCCTAGCACAGTCGTGATTGCAATGAAACATTAAATCCCTTCAACCCGTCACTTCATTCACTCAAAGTCTTTCTAGGGTTAACTGTTTAAGATATAGTATATTGACGACTGAGGAACCTATCAGCCTTTTCGAGAACGCTGCTTAGTTACAAAAGAATTGGCAGCAAAAAGCAATATTATAACAATCAGGTTATCTCTGTGATCGTAACCAACCTTTACATGCCCAATCACTTTTTAGTAAAAGGAAGTTTAAGTTTTGCAGGTTAGGAGTCGGGGTAGTGTTGTGAGTTAGGACTATCACTCCTTAGAGTTTTTATTATATTATACTTTAGCCGAATATTCTGTAGTATTTAGAGATGACACTCATGAAGCCAAACAGGGTAGTACTTGAAATTAGGTTTTGATAGAGTGTGCCTTAGAATATTGGTATGGATTCTCATCATTGATAGCCTTCTGGGGGATTCCTTTGTTGAAACGTAAAATTTATTAAAATAGGTCAGGAAAACAAAATCAGGATGTAATTATGTCACATAAAAATAAGATTATACAGAATGTCCTTGTGATTCTAATCCCCTTTCGAAACATCTAATAAGAGTATGTTTGTCATTTTGTCAGAGTTACACTCAACTAAAACATCACGCAACCTGATATTCAATTATTTTTAAGGTAGCGAAAACTGGGTGTGGGTCTTGGAAAATACATACGCTACGTGTGATCAAGATACTTATCTCCCGTTACTTTTTCAGCGTCGTTCTTTCGATGATCTATATATTGATAGGCTATTAGGGAGCTTAAAGTTTCAAAATCTCGGTGTCTGAAGTATAGTATCCAATGGCATTTTACTCTTCCTGAACCGCCTAGAAGTTATGTGTTTAAAATACGAGGGAAACTAGTGTTTTTCTATAAAAGAATCTGTTCTACCACTTAGGTCTTTATTTTTATCTAGATTTTGTCTTTCACTATGTAGATCGCCAAATTCTGTCCAGTATTAAGATCTAATACCTGGATCCCAATGTACGGAGGAATTTGAATAGACATTATCCCCAACATAACGCTACAATAGACTTATCAGTAAGCTACATCTAACATGCAGTTTGCTTCAGTACATGTATCTGAAGCCCTTATGTATATAATTATAATATAAATTCACTACACTTATTTTTCCTTGAAGAAATACAACTTAGGTACGCCCTCGCTAGTATACTTAGCGCCTTCCTAACACCAAGTTTTACCTCGCTTTCAGCCTGAAGCACTTTGTGTGACTGTTAACATCTTACCCTTTGTCGACTACTGATGCTAGCTCAAACCAGCCTCCAACTAGTAAAGGAATTAAAACGCTCCCAACAAAGCAAATTACCTCCTTATGGTGAAGATAAAATCCGAATTTGTTTGGAAGAAATGCGAGTACTATATGATGCAAATCATCGTGATGTAGCCCTTGTATCTAACTCGTCGTCTGGGCCATCATCATCATTATATGAAACAGATGATCATAGTAATAAAATTCAATCTGTTTTAGTCAGACATGCTATCTTGGAACGTAATAAACGTTGTCTTCTTGCCTATCACCATGCTAGATTAATGCGGATCAAAGAACTACGGTGGGAATATGGTATCATTTTACCTAAAGGTAATAGTAATTTCGTTATACTACGCTATTTTTTGTAACTTATCACTTTGAAGTAGATTTTTGTACACAAAATGTCATAAGTTCATACTTGTTAGTACCTCTGCACATAACTCTTTCTAATACAGAAATGAAACAACAGAAGTATCCCTTTAGACCTAAAGCTACTATAACGTTATGATTTAATTTGGATAATTGATAATATAACTGCTGGAACTGGATGTGTGTACGGATTCCGTTAGTGTATTTTCTGCAGTCCCAAAGCTAGTCAGTATTATCAGGGTTCATGTAGTAAACAATTCCTGGTCTATCGTCATGCTTAGTATACACTGGAACTCTGTAACGAAGTACGAATCTATGTACTCGCTTTTGGATTACAATTTGTGAGACTGGAGAGCATACATACTTCCTGATTTCCCAAATCTAATTGAGACATTTAAAACCTGAAATTTGTTAGGATGTAGGATACTAGCAGTTTAATCATTGAGTTAAAATCGCAACAATATCTGAGTGTTTAAACCATTGTAATTGAACGGAACGTAGATTATATTTGAAATCAACAATTCCCTACCGAAAAGAGACCTCTATCCCACCAACGAAAAAGTTTTCTGTCCAGCTCTATTTACATTGATGTGAGATTCAGTAACAACGCATCAGTAATATGTAAATAAAGTTGTTTGAATGACTGCAGTTTTCTATTTAATAAACTACCCGTCTGGATAATGCACTTTTTCCTCAAAGCAAGAAATATTTTAAACTCATCATTCTCAGTCAAAATACGTGAAGTGAGCTGACAAAATATTGATTAGTCATGTACATTAAGATGTTGTACGGTTGATTAATAACAACTCAACTTGTACAGAGAGTTTTCTTTTCAGAAATTTAAAACAATTAGTTCATTTGATAAGTTTCGACAAGGCAAAGAGAAAACGAAGGTTACGAGGATTATGTGATATATTTGCACAATACATTTCGAACAATCTGAATCACACATACTTGCTAAGACATTCTTATATGAAAACTATAAGGTCAACTAAACAGATTAATAATAAGCCGTAACAAAGAAAAATAAAGTACACAAAAACACTGTGATAACCACGCTGAATAATAAATCAGTATTACTAGGGTAGGTTAAGGGTAAGAACAAATTGTTTTTTTGGAAGACATGAAGGGGATTTCAGTTTCCGTATAGCAAAGGCTTCAATGAACCTTAGTATACGTCCTTGAAGGCACATTGATAGAATTGGACGTAAGTGGATATTAGACCTATGAATTTTTAGTTATCCATATAAACTGGGGTACACCAAACTTATAGGTCTTAATAAATTAAACTCATCTTTATTAATAGAATTCATGTTTGACAATTTAACATCTAGTCCCATCAATATGTCGGTCACGTACGCACAACCTTGCAAAATGGTTTATAGAAGTATTAAACGCTATCCGAAATCAATTTCGTAAGTATTATTTGATTGACTAATGTGGATTAATTAAGTACTTAATGGATATGAATGTAAAAACAAAGACAATGATCTCCTTTAATGTGAACATTTTATTTACAAATGTACCTCTTAGAAAAACTATTGATATTTTGTGTGACTATATCTCATTGAATAACCTTCCATTGCCATTTCCTGTGAAAACTCAAACATTTACAATTATTGTGAACTGATAATGTGAAATTCACTTTTAAGGGTGAGCACTTTCGACAAGTCGATGGCGTAGCTATGGGTAGCCCTTTGGGACGGTTTCTGGCTGATGTATTTATGGGATGTGTTGAAAATCTAGCTGAAGACTCAATTCAAAAGGTGTGTCTGTATAAAAGGTACGTTGATGACATCATAATCATAGGGGGTAAATATGAACCGTTTTTACAAACGCCTTCAAGGACGTATACTAAGGTTCATTGAAACCTTGGCTATACGGAAACTGGAATCCCCTTCATGTCTTCCAAAAAAAACAATTTGTTCTTACACTTAACCTACCCTAGTAATACTGATTTATCATCCAGCGTGGTTATCACATCGTTTTTGTGTACTTTATTTTTCTTTGTTACGACTTATCATTAATCTGTCTAGTTGACCTTATAGTTTTCATATAAGAATGTCTTAGCAAGTATGTGTGATTCAGATTGTTCGAAATGTATTGTGCAAATATATCACATAATCCTCGTAACCTTTGTCTTCTCATTGCATTTTCGAAATGGCTCAAACTCCATTTAACTCTATTTCTAGCTATAACATTACGTTGCTCGAGACAGTGGTTAGTTGAAACGCATTTTAGGAATATTGGACTTCCACTTTATCTAAAAGACCCGTCCAATATTCATGTTAGTTTCAAGGTAGGTTTGTCATAATTCTATGTATTCACCTCTAAGTTTTGAATAATGGACATTTGATCTGGACAATCAAAATTCCTTACATATAAACATTATCCTTGATTTCCTTCATCAATATGTACAATACATCTTTTAAACTTAGATATCCGTGATAATTTATCGGAAGCGGAACAAGCATGGTTTAAACACTATTGTAGTTGTTTGGCAAACTTCATGCAGGCTGATGGATCGGAACGTGGAGGCGGTGGAATGCTAGATTTAACACAATATCGTACACCACCAAAATCATTATTTCTAGAAGTCCGTTGTCTTCAAGATTTTGGCGAATTCGAAACAGAAGATGGCAGTATTTTACATTTAACAAAAGGTAGTCATCATTTAATGCATCGAACCGATTGTGAGGCTTTAATTCGTCAAGGTATTCTTGAACATATAGCAGAGTGAAATGAAACTGTCATGTGCAATTATTATAATGTCCTAAAAAGGAAATTATACTGTATATATTTAAATTTGTCACGTTATTATTTTCATGCGGAAGATTTTAAACAATAAAACACCAAGGAATGGGTTACACAAAACACAATGACATCATTGTGATCATTTGGATGAGGAAAAAGTGTATGACTCGTCATTACATTTATAAAAACGGGTACGGTATGTGAAGCTATGAAAACTGAGTAATACCACAGACAAGACAGATTTCATAATACTGTTTATAAAGAATACAGTAGGAAACTACATCCAAGTCGCTTGTATTCTGAGTAGTCTAGAGACTACTTGTGTCACTGAGTTTCATGACCTGTGGGCCTTCAGTTTGCTTTTACTAATAATGTGGGATCATGAAACAAAAATCGCCAGTCTGTTAGCATAAATCCGACATATAAAATATGCGTCTTAATAGGGGTGGTTTTGATGTCTGTTTCTCCCAACTTAAATTTTTATTGTTGATTGCTACTGGTGGATAAAGTTATCTTAACGCCATCTTGGTTTAGTTCTAATGTATCAAAAGGGGTTTTGTGGATATTATGGTAATCTTAATACTTGAGATCGTGAGTCAATTGAAACTAGGTCACCATGGAAAACCTGATAGTAATGGGTAGCCGTTTGATCACGATGTGATTTCTAAATTGAATAAACGGATACTATGGTGATATGCGAAGATGGATAATGGCTAGCAGCGGAATCCAGGACGCGTGTTTCGCCCTGTTTGGGACTCGTCAGCTAGATGTACCTGCACCTTAGAATTGATGTTCACTCTGAGGCTCGAACTCAATACCGTTCGCTTCAAACGTCATCGCGTTATCCACTTAGCTATTGAGTCCTGATAGCCACTATGGTGAATTATATTTTCAAACTAATCAGTATCCTATGATTTAGTTCATTTAGATCTTTGAAATTTTGTTTGTGGCATTAGATTATTTTAGTTTAGCCTTTATGAAGCCTCCCATATTGGTTGTACAAACTTATAAATCTTCAGTGATACTTTCAACATCAAAATGATCTCTGGTCGTTAAGTGTAATGGCAAAATAAAGTTAGTACTTCAAAACTACCAAGGCTGAGTATCTTATTTCCGAATTATACTACTTAAAACTTTCCAAGTAGTTAATCAAGTCTACTCCGTATTTATTTATTTTGACAGATATTAGTACAAAGGGGCACCGAATACATATGTGCCACACAAATCTCATTTGATATGTGTGAGGGCCCGGGTGCCCAAACCGAAGCAGGTGGTTTTCTTAGGGGGCCACACCCGGAGCCTTTGACCTGAAGGTCTGATCCACAAGGCAATGGAGCATCGTGAGGAGATGCAATCCCATAGTAGCCGGTGACCAACGATTGGTTAATACGCCATTTGTTCCTCTAGCATACTGGAGCTTATGTGCACCATTGGTTTGGAATGAGGGTTTTCCAACTCCCCTATGTGGACTCTCTATGTCCACTAACCCGGTTAGAGCGCCGGACATTCGTTTTTCGTCCTTTCAAGTCCGTAAACAACACCCCTGCCACGAGAAGGCAGTGAGTAGGACTTCCCTAGCAGAGGCTATATACGCGCGGCCATGTGAGAGCATTTCGAGAAGGAGAGAGGACTTCCCCTACTCTGGGCCGTACCAGGGCATTTGGGGGAAACAATATAGTATACGCATTGATTTTCTCGTAGTTTGCTCATTAAGAATTGCATTAGATTACGTAGATTGTTATTTATTAGTTAGCTGATAAGTAAGTAGTTCGAGCCATTAGAATCCACATGCTTAACTCTTGCTATGTGGTCTGAAATAATAATAACTGACAGTATTCACTTTTAAAGGTAAGTTTCTATGGTATTAGTGAGAATCATTGTTAATATTGTTTGTCAAATATTAGATTTAAACAGAATGAAGATTACGCAATACCTGGAATATTTATGTTTAGTGGAAATCATTTAAGGTTTCATACTCGCATGAATTTTCATCGTATGCAGTTAGTTGGAAAATCTTAAGGAGCTCTTCCTAGTCGATTTTATTCAAAATGGTTATGTGAAAAAAAGTAACACAGTGATGCCCATAAACGAAAATTGACAAGTTAAATATTGTTTAGTTATGACTCATTGGTCCTACAATATATAAGATAACTTTGAATTAAAAACGGATTAAATCTATCATTAATCGGATACTCTAGGTTTGTCTCAGCAAGTATTCATGGGCTTATTCCTCATTATAAATGAATGTCTTGCATTTATACACAACTTCTTAATCAACATTCACTCACTTATCGATTTTGGTTATCCAAGTTTTCAAATACTTTTGTGTTATCATTTTGCATATAAACACGTTATATTATTAGATAAAAAAATCTATTCCTCTGGCTAGTGGCTTTACTTGTGATATCAGCTCATTCTAAGGTTTCAGTCAATAAACCAGTATTGAGAGTACCCATTAACACTTCAAGCATCCGTATCCATGTAGACACTAATCTTATACAAATAGAATACTATAGTTCTATTTATGGAATGGTGATCTACAGTGCTGAAAATAATCTTTACTAAATATATTTGCATAACCAATCATTTGACTACTCGTCGAATTGCATTCGTTTTCTCAGGTTTGTTATAATAGACCCACTGAAAGCTGTTCATTGACCTTCGTAAAAGCAGGAAGCACTTGACTATTATTTGATTACACCAAAAACCAGAATGATGTTAAGCACTTGGACATTATGACTATCAACTGTAACGCGTTAATAAAGCGATCGATAAAAGTTAGTCAAAATAAAAGAGCATTGTTTTTTTTTTTATAGATCGAATAGATATGTCAAATCAACATCATTCAGTCATCATGACAGTAAACATTGATTTCAAAATTGACTTAAAAAACGAAGTTGATAGTGCTTTGGTCAACATTTAGAAATAGACAGTATGATGTGGATTACTTGATACTAATGAATAAATTCGGAAAATTAATTCGTCCATTAAGAGAAGGCACTTATACGTATCATAAACTGGTAATTTCGAATTATATTCTGTAGGATGATTTTGTTGTTGAAAATAACAAAATTTGTAGCAAAAGTGAAGTAAACAATATAAAAGACTGGACGTAATGCTCTCTACTTGTGAACTATCATTTCATAATGCTTTGCTCACAAAATAAGACATTTCATGGTTTCGTGTGATACTAATAAGTACGGATAAATAAATAACACTGCTCAAAAAATCCTCTTTTTGGAGACTCAGAGTGCCATTGCAGCCCTATAATAAACTACACTACCAAATAATATGTTGAGCCCAAATAAATGTTATCACAAACCAACAGGAACTGGAAAACTAAGAGCGAAGACCTCTTACATTGGAGCACCATATCAGTGCACGCCGACGACATTCAAGTTGTTGGGACTTGATGTGGGAACCGCAGAGGTGAGTGGCTACCAAAAGGGGTCATGATGTCAAAGTCGTGTGAGGCTAGTGTCTGTCATCTCTTCAGGACTCTTTGTTTAAAGTCCTAGAGGTCGCGCAGCTCTGACTTGAAGCGCTATCAGATGTGGTTCAAAACATAAGCCAATAGTAATTCTCCTACAATTTTCTTACGTATTTTTCATAAGGACATGAGAAACCCAACCGAAAAAAACCCTTCGAGATGGTGGAGAAGATTTGTAGCTCAGGTGGATGGTTTTGGTGGAGTTTTGTTCTTTGAGAACAAAACTCCACCAGAAAAAAAACCCTTTTATTGATTAATTCTCGCTGAATTTCATGTTATTAAATACAGTTCTTTTTCATTCATTTATAGATTGTACAATCTCTCTCCCTTCTTGTTCATAATATTGTCATTTAATTTGTGTGGAGCATACCTTTCCAGCTACCTACCATACCAAACTTTTCAGGTCAAGAAGAAAATACGACGAACTACTGGGTCAGGTTTACACTTTCCTATTTTATCAATTTATGAAACAGCATCATCTTCATGCATTACATGTGCCTAACCACCGTATACCTCAGGAGGCGATGATATATGGTGGATGAGTAGGCTATCAGAAAACTAGAATAACCCTAATTAGAACGTGCTATTAATCCATGGAGTCATTGACAGCTGAAATAAGTTAATGTAAGGTGTAGATCAATCAGTCAGGATCCATACGATGATTGGAACTAGTGATTGACTGTCCGATGACATGGCACAAATGTATTCACTTTCATAAGAAGAAGTTTTTCTCTGAAATTAGGTTTTTACATTATTATTTGTTTAACAAAAACAGAGAGACGAGAATAAAATACAAGATTATAAGAATACAATGATAAAAGAGACAATTTAAAAAAGTAACAAAAAGTAAAACTTGATATCACAAAGTTATTAAAATCTATTAGATATGTAGTTTCCAAGTGAGAATATCATCGTTTTAGTAGAATATCAATGTCCTTGAACAACTACCATAGTGATATACCATTTACCTAACTTGCCTCAATAGAAATATGCTTATGAGTATAATATTGAAATGAATGAAGATTATAATAGTCGGAAAGCTTTGATGATCTCAATCATTTTAATGACAAAAACTAAATGAAATGACATAATAAAACATGATATCATAAAATAAGTGATATTTTACGGAGAGAGGGATAGAGAAATAATACTTTGATAAAATGACCACTTATGTATTAGTATAATGAATTTATATGTAAACTGTAATCTTACATATTGCTTCACATTCTTCTTTGGTTAAAAAATTATTTTCATTTGCATTACAACCACCATAGATGAATTCTTCACAGATTGTTTTTTGTGGATTCCAACCCCAACGATGAAGTTTTGCACGACATTTACCAGTTAATCTTGGTAATAAACAAATTGGATTTAGTGAATCGTGCACTAAATAAATGTGAAGAGATAATGAGGAAATAATAATTAGGGAATGGAAATCAAGATAGACATGAAAAGGAATAGAAGTATTTGATTATCAGGCTTTCCTTTCTTACTGTTATAGACTTATGCAACAGATTGACAAAGCTATGTTTTAAAAAAAAGGGATAGTTAGGAATCAGACGAAATTTCACAGTTTAGTGGCTTGTTGATTTTCACGATTAAACCCATAAACCGTTTTATTAAAAATTACAGAACATTGTGAATTAGGGAAAACCATAACACTTTTAATATTTAAATAGGTGAAATTCATATTTGAATATTCCTAACAATCAAGTCAACGGGATATCCATACTTGACCTTTGCTTTTTCGAAGTGAGCTCTCCAAGGAATTCCTGTTGTGAATTTTTGATATGAAGTAAAATTCCTCCTCTTACTAGATCATGTGTTCAAACATATTCTCCATAAAGTACCAAGCTCCTATCAGACCTTAAAGTTGGTACTTAATATGAATAAGCGGTTTTCTGAATACATATACAACAGATGATGGCTGTTATCTGTTCCTTGGGTTGAGTGGCGAAGATATAGGTTGGTTTAGCCTACAGACTTAAGCTACAATTACATATGAACACCTGATCTTCTAAAATCCAGGAAACCTAACTTTTACCCCATAAGAGGTGCAGTGAGTGAGGAGATAGCAAGAAACAACAAAGGGGAAGTGTATATCCTTTTTTACCTTACCATTTGATGAGGCTGAGCTCACGCTATTATGGATAGAACTCCGTTCAGAAAGAGCTTATTTGTCTTTTGAATCTATGGGTATACTTACATCAGCACAATCACGAAATTTGATGTCAAGTCTTTAGATATACTACATCTCCACATTAGTTGGATGGGGTTTGATGAATGACCACTGCAAGATATTGTATCTCAGTTTGATAGACAAAGTATCCATTATGGCACAAGATCAGTTTTAGCTGATAAATCCTGTTGCTCGATTCGAAATATGGTTCGGATACTAAATGCTGTAACATGTAGTTTGGGATATTGGCGTGCTAACTATTTATCAGATACATATCCAAGAATTCAGTTGTCCGACTTTACCCACAATCTTCAGATTAATTGCTTTTGGTCAGACCACTATCTTATCAAACTGACTGGGATGATAGAACACGAAATGTTCCAACAAATCCAGCTTGACTAGTTCTTCATGACAGGCAAGCTTGAACTCAACATCAGGGTAGTGGCTAGGGTTTCGACATAAAATAATATTACATGCGAGCTCTAGGATTCGAAGGGAATGGATCGTGTATTGAAAGGTCCTGCCAATTTTTTGTCAAGAAAATCGTATTCTTCACAACGTTCCACTTTGTGAGAGATGCGAAACAGTGAATAGCTTAGAAGATGGTTCAACGTGGAAAGCATGTGAATATCATAGCCATTGCAAAAATTTTATTTATTTGAACACATAAATACTGGTACAACAGGGCGCCAAATATACATGCGCCACACAAAACAATGAGAATTCGAAGAGAAAAAAGGTAAGGAGCGTAAAAATAAGAACGATAACGAACAGATTAGCGCAAGGTGCTATAATAATAATAATAATAATAATAATAATAATAATAATAATAATAGTAATAATGGGGTAAACGGAAAGGTACGATCAGAAGAAATAAATGATAATGTCTACAGGGAATAGTGTACCATAATTTTATTTATTTGAACACCCAAATATTGATACAAGGGGGTACGAGATACATAAGCTCCACATAATAACGGTGAGGTTGTGAAAAGATACAGAATGGAGGGTATAATAAACGAAGAACAACAATGAACATAAATTAGTGTACGACAGTGAAATAATAGTAATAATGGGAGAAACAGTTAACAAAAATACAACCAGAAAGAATTTTTCCAGTCAAAGAATCTACGTCCATTTTTTATGAAGTAAAAGAAAGTTACAGCAGCATCGCTTTGGCTTCTATTTTGAGCCATATCTCATAACGTCTCTAGCCACTGTGATGCACCATCTCTAGGACCGCAGCCAGGGAGTCGTGAAGGACCAACAGAAGCCAGTCCTTTGCAGTTTTCTTTCATACCACGACACCATGTCATACATTGACCACCTCTCCGCTTTTTCCAACCAGTCCCAGAGTCAGCAAATAATGCACGACGTGGAATTCTCTGGGACGAAACTCTTGAAACATGTCCAAGCCACCGAAGTCGGTGTTTCAAGATGGTGACACCAATTGCATTATCATCTCTGTGCCCGAACACACGATGCCGAACCTCTGCATTACTAACTTAGTGTTGCCACTGAATGTCAGCAATCCTTCGGAGACGGCGATGATCGAACACAGAGAGTCGTTTAACGTCCTCAACTCGGAGAGACCAGATTTCACAAGCATAGAGCAAAACTGCTCTCACCGACGCGTTGTAGATCCGACCTTTTACAGCCAGACTAACACCACGAGGGCGCCAAAGATGGCCCAGATTGGCATAAGCCGCTCTGGCTTTCACTATACGTGCGTTGATCTCATCACTCACACCCCCACCAGCACTTATGCAGCTACCCAGATACACGAACTTCTCGACTACGTCTATCTGCTCACCATCCAGGGTGAGTACAGGATTGGAATCCTGCCAGTCTTGTAGAAGTACTTTGCACTTCGAAGGTGCAAAGCACATACCATACCTACGGACACTGATTAAGTGCGGATTGCATGCCTTGGGCATTATCGCACAGTAAGACAGTATCGTCCGCATACTCAAGGTCGAGAAATCTTTCTCCAGGCAACAGATCCACACCGCCATTACTTACATCCATCAGAGCTGTTTCCAGAATGTTATCGATAGCAAAGTTGGCAAAAGGGCCGGAGGTAAGTCATCTAGGCCCGGTGATTTGTAGCGCTTTAAGAGTTGGAGTTACTCGCGGACTTCCGCCTCACTTGGTGGGTCAGTCGTCACAGGTCATGGAGGGCAGGACAGTCCGACCGATGTTGCCAGAGCTGCAGGCCAGCTGAACTGCCCTTCGAAGAATTCTGCTCATCGTCCAAGACGTCGATGGATGTTAGTGATTGGTATCCCGTCATCCTCATAGATTGTTTCGCTCAAACCAGACTTCTTGCTGCCAGTGGCTCGGGTGAGTTAGAAGAACTCCCGGTAGTTACCAGATGCAGTTGCTGCTTCCAGCTCATTAGCACACTCCGACCACCAAGCTTCTCGGTCTTTACGCAAGCTCTGCTTAATTTCATTGCGTAACATCCTTCGTTTGTGGTTAAACTCACGGCCACCCGGAGTAGACCGATGGGCTTCGGTGAGTTGTAAGGAGCCTGAAGAAACCCAATGCTTATAAGCAGGACATTTCGCAAACCCACAACTGACTGTTCCCGCCATTTTCATGGCGTCATGAAGTTGCAACCAATGCTCATCTATACTTCTCGGTGGGATGGTAGCTAGCCTAGAAACTAGCTCGGTTCGATACTTACTAGCAACAGAAGTTGAAACCAGCTTGCTGACATCAATCCTTTGGTGGCGGTCACTTCGTTGGCCACTGAAAAGTAAGGTAAGATTGGCGCAGACCAGGACATGGTCAGAGTCCAGATAGGTACTCCAAAAGGAGTGGCAGTCTTGTACACAACCACGCCAGCGGTAGCTGATCGCGATGTGATCAATCTGAGTCCAGGCTTGAGATGCAGAGGGAGGACGCCAGGTGGCATATCGGTGATGACTGTGCCGAAAAATAGTGCTAGCCAGAAACAGGTTGTGGTCTGTGCATAGTTGCAGTAGACGGTCCCCGATATCTGTCCTACGACCAACAAGTCCTCATCAGCCTCCTAAACGACTCTCTTCTGTGCCTAGACGCCCGACCTGAGCATTCAAGTCTCCGGCTAGTACTACAATATCTGTCGAACGCACTTTCTGGAGAAAAACAGATAACTGGTGGTAAAACTCATCCTTG